ACCGCTCTGAAAAGATCCGCTAAACACTTTTAATGTTTCATCCCAAATCCTATTTACTGAAACAAGAGCCGATCAAGGTCACGGTAAACCCCAGCCTGCCCAAACTGCCCGCGCCTTTGGAAGCCCTTGTAATTTTGCGGGCCTCCCTCGGCGCCCCCCTCGTCCTCCATCCGCGTTGTGCTCCGTGAATAGGTGCGTGTGGGTAATCCCGGCCTCCGGACAAGCCTGGAGGCCGCACGCAGCAAACTGCTCCCTCCGGGACGCAGCTCCCTGATTAAACTCATCTTAAACTTTTATTTTTTTTAAGGAGTTTTGCTTTTAAACCTGCGGTGCAGCCTGATGGGGGGTTCTTTCACGGGGAGGTGGTACCGGCACCCTCGCAGCTCCCTCGGCGCTGCCGAAGGGCACCCAGAAATGCCCGGGAAAGCGTCTTGGGGTGGCAGAGCCTCCGTGCCCGTCGCCAGCCCCGGGGAGCGGGCACAAATCCACGGCGTCCTCGGCCAAAGCGACGGCGGGCGGCGACTACAAAAAGGACCCCCTAATGGCAACCGGTTTCATTTGCCTCTTAGGAGCCCCCGGGCCTCCTGAAAGGACAATTGGATAAAGTTGGGGCTTGGAGGAGCTCGCGCTCCGTGTTCCCGGGCGCGGAGGCTCCGGCCTTTCTTCTCCCCGCTCCCCTTGGAAGCAGGAGTCTGCGAGGGGGTTGTAGCTGTGTCAAAGCCGTTGGGATGCCACTGCTGATCACTTTAATTACTAGGACTAAGGAGGATAAAATTAAAAGTAGCACCATTGAAGCAGTGGAAGACAGCTTGCCGAGATGGCGGTGAACTGTGAAATATAGAAACTGCATACCAATACATTTTTATAGGAGAGAAACAAGGAATTACATTACTTATTCCTGAAGAGTTTGTCCTTAAAAGGGGAAGTTTCACTTGCTGTGCAGCCGCGTGGCAGATTCTTAGACCGTTCCCGAGTCTTCGGGGGCAAATAGCAGAATAAACTCAAATGTCTCATGGGTCAGAGGGGGGGAAACGTGCCTAGTTTTCTCCCCGAGACCCAACTGCTCTGTAAACCTGGCTGTACGTGGGCTTGCGTGGTCTGTGCTTGCTGCATTTGAACTGCTCTTTCTCCCCCCTTCCTTTCCCTTCAGGCAGGGTTTGTGCCCGTATAACTTCTCCACTTTCCAAAATCCATCGGGAAGATTTGCTTTTCAGGTAACCGCTCCGGAACTCCAGTCTTAACCGCGGCGGCTTCCAGGCTTTTTTGCGGATCTGGAGCCGGTGGCTCCTTCCAGGCGGGTTTCCCCCGCCAAGGCCGGCCGTGGGCAGCTCGGGTGCGTGAATTGAATTTCAGCAATAAATACGCCGCTTTTCTCTTATCCGCGGTGATGATTGGCTTAATCAGCACACACACACGGCGCGGTAATCTGTGTTTGCTTGGAGATCCCCGGGATGTTAATGACTATGCTAATGTCGCAGGGGACAAGTCCGCTTGCAGGAGGAGGGGAGAGCACCGGGCTACTCAGCTGAGGGTGTTTTTGTCACCCAAATTGTAACCGGGCTTATTTTTAAGCTCTCTCTGGTCCAGCAAGGGGAAACTGTTCCACACAAAACCCCACAGGAACCTCGCTGTAAATTTTGCCCGTTCCTTTTGAAAAGTCACTTAAACCAAAGCCGCAAGTTCCCGTATGCCAGGAGTTTACCGCACGCGGTAAAGATCCGAGCGATTTTATTCCGTGTAAGCTTGAATGTCGTTAATGTTACCAAATACCATGGGTTGGGAGAAAATTGGTTGCTGTGACTATGAATTAAAGTGATCCATGAGGCGTGTCAGTTGGCTGACTATGAATTAAAGTGATCCATGAGGGTGCCGGGGAGCCGGAGCAGCTTTGGGCTCGCCGCTGGGATACGGACTTCAACGAGAACCGTTGGGATCAAACCGTTGGGATCGGCAGCAGGGCCCGAGCAGCAAAGCCCAGCGCTGGGATCTGATAGGGAACGTGTCACTCAGGCCCCAGATATTGCGCCGTGTCCATACGCCGTGTTTACTGTAGGGTTTTATGAGTTGTAACCTGCCCATGCGAGCTGTTAATGAGGCTAAATCTGGCTGCTGGAGGATGGAATTACCGCGCACCTCTGGGCTAATGGTTCTCAGCAGAGAGCCCCATTAGGGCTGCCTCGGGATGCCTGCATTTGCATTCGCGCTATTGTGCCCCGAACAATGATGAGTAAATAGCTACAAACAAACAATTTGCATGGAAATGGCTGAAATGTACCTAATTAGTATTTGGGGCTTGTTTTATTAACGAGCGCTTAAGCAAAATAGCACTTAGGAGCAGCTCTTCCCAAGGGCTGCAGGTGCGCAGGGTTTGGGCCCTGCTTGGGTGGGAAAGGTGCCAGCGTTGCTCTCCAAAATCAGGCATTTTGCTATATTGCACTTAGTTAAGGCCAACAGCGAATATCGTGGGTTTTATCCTGTGTGTTATACCAACAATGTGAAGTTTTAGATGAATTCGACTTAAAACCAAGTGCTGGCTTTGTTGCATTTAGGAGCATTTGTAATGTCGGGGTGGGGGGACAGCCATGTAAACTTCTGCCAAACTTAGAAAAATCGACTTTTAAAGACTAGAACTGAAATTGTCCTTCCTTTATGGTTTAATGTCTTTTCATAGATACCTTTGGATGCATCTTTTTATCTGCATTTTTTAGTTGTGGCATTTTAGTCATGTCCAAAACAACATGCAGTAATTTTTTTCATTTACAAAACTGAAATATTAATATCCTACTGTAATTACAGGTTTTCGTAGACGAGCGTTATCTGGGTTGATTCCCAGAATAAATCATATGATCTTTTTAATTAATGAGCAAACCCAGAGTCATAGTGCAAATAGTGCATTTTTTTTGACAAGGAAAAGTCTTTTTTTTTTGCTCTGGAGTCCA